TGGCACAACAAGAGGTGAGAGGGATTCTTCCGGCTGCTGGTTCCACAGTGCATCGGACACGAGAATAAAACCAGGGCAGCTACAAAGTACTGGAGGGGTGGTTTTGCACGTCTGGTAACCGCTGATCTGCTCAGATCCCCTGGGAGATGGATCCAGCAAAGCCTTTGCACACATCTGGGTGCAAAGCCACTGGTGCCAACCACATGGATCCCCTTCTGCTACCGGAGGCTCCTGGATCTAAACAGTGACCACAGCAGTGATAAGGATGGTGATTTAACTGATGATGACCCTTCCAGCGCTGCTATTGCTGGAGCTGAATGGCCTCAGTGGAGCCCCATGAGTTAAGATTCCAAACCTTCTGCTGGTTGATGCTTGCAGATAGGAAGCACCATCACACCAGCTACAGCACAAACTGCAGGACTGAGGGACTTCTGTGCTATTACAAAGAAAACCTGGAATCTTGAATGGAGAGGAAGGGACAGAGCTCTGACCACAACACGTAACCCAACTCCAAAGTGACTCCAGCTGGAGCAGGGATGGCCCAGAGCACCCCAAGCACAGAGAGGCCGTGATGCTGAGCCTGCACAGAGCATCATGCACACTGAACCCGAGAGGTTTCCTTTTGGGGTCACTGCCTGTAAGTGGCTTCCACATCAATTTCCTCCAATTCTGGGGATTTTACAAAACGTGCTGAAGTTCGTTAAAAGCAAGGAGATTCCCCCAAATGCTGCACTGATTCATGAAGAAATTAGGCCCTCAGGAGCTATTAAGCAGCAACTGAACCTTACAAGGCTCAAACACGTACAATATGACTGCAAAATCCCAGCAATGGTAAAGACGCAGGGGAAACCAGCAGTTTAGGAGCAACTGACCCTTTCTTAGGCAGCTGAGGTCCAGATCACCAAGTGGGATTTGGAGATGTTACAGCTCTCTCACGTGTCAGAGTGACACAGTAAAGTGCAGCATCACTTATCATGCTACTTCTGCTTCACATAAAGCCATGTGAGAACAGGAGGGTCACGTTCCTGTCTGGCTTCGGGGTCGAGGTCCAGTCCACGACAAGGTGGGAGAAGGAAATAGAATGGGGGGGGTTCTTTTTTTCTCTTTTATTTTTGTATAAAACAACCCTGTTATTCAACCAGGAACTGATGGGAAAGCACAAGAGGGCATGCAAGAGGAGGAGGAGGCAGGTCTGAGCCGCTGAAAACCAAACCAAACCGAAAGGAAACTGCAGAGAGATTAAATAAGGAGCCACAAAATAACGTGGCCCTGGGGAAGGTGGGCGCAGGCAAGGCAACAGGGCGAGCATGCAGACTGAAATGAGAGCAAAACGGAGGTCTTTGTGACGAGCAAAATGGGGCTCCAAACCAAAATGCCAGTGTCTGTGTTCGTGTGTGTCTGTGTGTGTGTGTGTGTGAGGAGGAGGAGGGAGAGAAAAGGGGGGATAAAGAGGAAGGGGCAGAGAGAACAAGCAGGAAAACAAGCGTACATACGTGAGCTCGAAGGCTTTCAGGAAACAGCAAGGTCATAGGGATTTAATACTTGGCATGAGCATCAGCCTAGGTTTAAAAACACAAAAAGACAGGCTGACAAGTATTAGTGACCTCTGGGGAGAGCACAACATTGAGTAATGTGTGTGGATCAAATGTGAGAGCTGCAAACGCAGAGCCCAGTCCAGCTGCTGTACCACTGCTCCCGGGGAGGGCTTGGGCACCCCCCTTCTGATGGGACTACCTGTGGGATTAGCACTAAAGGCACTGTGTGAAATGTACTGATGGAGCAGTGCGTACATTCAGATGGACCGAGGGACGAGGGGGGACAGAAGACAAGAGACCAGCACATGCCTGGGGACTCTCTGGTTACCCTCTGCACCAGCAGTGCTCTGACTGGGGTGGTGGGAAGTGTTGGTTATGTCTGATGGAGGGGTTGTGCCAAGGTGGCAGGAGAGTGGGGAAGGCTGGGAAGTTAAGTGTGAGCCACAAGTAGCATGCCATGGAAAAAGAGCAAGCGCCTGGATGATGCTGGGATGGAATTTAGGTCTGAATTTGTCAAGTGGGAACTCCAGACAAGACTGGGGTCTGGCTTTCCATGGGTGTGTTTTAACTGCCTGCAGGGTAAACAGACCATTTTGTTTCTCCTTCTGTGACAAGCTCGCCCCGAGGTTCTTGCACCAGCACAAACACCTTTAGGAATCTAAAACATAAGAAAGACAAAAAGAAAAGAGACCGGATTAGAAAGAGGTTGGGGAAAACGGGATCCCTTAAAGAGCAGCACTGCCTGCAGGAGGTTAAAGGAAGTAACAGCATCAAGCATCTACCAGGTTACAAGGGGTTAAGGAAGGCTCCTGAACAAGCAGCACTCAAAGGGTCATCATCCACCCTCAGCCCTTCCTCCAGCCAAGGGATGAGCATCACTGGGACACTGCTCTCCTATGGGAGAAACGCTCAGGAGTGGGACCCTACCAGGATGTTTTAGTTTAACTGGGAAAACAAACCTGCAAGGGAATACTGTGTCTGTTCAAGGGAGAGCTCCAGAGCCCACGAGTGACACTGAACAACAGGAGGCTACAACAAGTATTTTGTGTTGAAGCCACACTGTCCTCTCCACAACAGGCTGCACAGACCTCTCAGTGCATAAAGTCCATATCAAACAGGTAAGTGAAAGCAGTCTGAGCCTCCAAACCCATCCTTTGTCACACTCTCGTACCCACATTTGTGGCCAAGGGCGAGTTTTCCCTGTGGCCAAGTGAAGCGACAACCCAGAGCGTTATTTGGCCAGAGACACTCCAGTATCCAAGGGAACAGAGGCTGAGTCCAAACTTCCATCACGTTCGAGAGCTGGGGAAGCTCCTGCTCCCCTCTGCACCCACTTCCATGCCAAAAACCCCTCCAAATGTCAGCAAGAAAAAGTGTCCGCAGAGCCACAGCAGAGTATTTTCCCTGGACAGAAACTGCATGTGTGTGGGAAGCAGGTGAAAAGCAGCTCTGGGCCATTTGCTTTCCCTTCATAAAGTTAAATCAATTGCCATTAACCAGAACCTCACAGGAATGAGAAAATACAATGTTTATTAGCAGACAGCACAGCACATGGAGCTATGGAGAGATGCCTGACAGAGGATGACTCTTTGAGAACAGAAACAAACCCACCACAACACTGGCCACAGCGAACAGACCTTAACACAACAGACCTTAATGACACAAATCCAACCAGCTGAAGGCAGCTGAGTAACCAAAACACATCAAGGTGAGAGGGATGAGCAGTTATCAAACAGCAGCCAGGTTAAACAGCGAAACAGCCTATAAACCCATTTATATTATACATATATAAAAGGATAAAAACAATTCAAGTAACTTTAGTTTAAGTTATGTTATATACATCTGTTTTATATATCCTGGGGGAACTAAGGGCAAGTATTTAACATGAGGATTTAAAAAAGCCATAGTCCAGTTTATAAGTCCTGTTTCCTAAATAATTTGGCAAGCATTAAATAATCAGAAATATCCTAGATAAAAAGTGCATCAGCGGGGTTAACTTTTACCTATTGATTTATATCAGTCAAGGCTCTGCTTAATGGTTACAGCAAACAAACAGCAGAGCTGCAACACTGAGAATTCCAGAGCCCTCTACAAGGATTTATCTATGGAATTGGAGGTGAGAGGGAACACTCAAGTGGCAAAGGAGCCGAAATGCTCCCAAATCCTGTTAACTGGGAAGCTGAACTTCACGGAACAGCCTCCATTACTTGCATGTCACCCAAAGAACCAGGCTTTCTGGGAGAAGGGAACATGGCGTTTCTTGGGAGCAATGGAGCTTACATAAAACTGGTTGTTCCATACAACTCCTTTTGTATATCCTGTTATTTCACAACATCCCTCAGTGACAGAGGGTTTTGTTCCCAAGAAGATCGTGAGGTACCATCTTCAGTAACACAGTATGGTCAGTCTTGAGCAGAAAGGTGCAACTAGTTTCTGTGTTCAGTTGCCAGCACCAGGTACCTGACAGGTAGGGCCCGAAAAGCCCTGTAAGGAGCTACACTATGTGTGCAGGGGGGGGGTTCTCTTCCTCATCCCCTAGCAGTGAGAGGCCCCAAAACATCCAATAGATCCGATTCCTAGTCTGCATGGGTTTTAGCATCCATAAGCTTCCTGCAGGCATCACAGAATGAACTGGGTGGCTCATTTCTAACAGGAAGGACAACAGTAATGCTGTTTGCAACTAAATGGATGCACAATCAGGCCAGTGCTTTCATCGGCTGTGATGCACAGCTGGATTTCAAGAGGTGAACTTATACATGCATCAGCTGAGTGGATGGTACCTAACAGAGTCTTTCATTGAAGGAGATACGATATGTGCATTCATCTCTTGTAAAGAAAACCTTCTGACACAGAGCTCTTAAGACACCAGTAGCAGCAAACCAGTGGGGTAAGAGGTGAACGGGCCTATGAAACCTACTCAGATTTTCTCAAGTGATTTGTACACATCTGGAAGAAAAAAAGAAGGCAGAACAAGACAGATATTACAGATGTTACTGTTGGGTTTGTGATGGGGTTTGCTAACACCCTGTGCGTGGAGGTGTCTGTGTGAACCTTACGAACAGCCCTAGCACTTGGCTGCTGTGATGGCTGTGATCAGGAGGTGACTGCAGCACTTACCTGTCTGCTCATCCAAGGGCAGGCAGAGCCCCCAGAACAGGCTTTTCACAAAGGATTTAGCAGGTTCTTGGGCAGAGCTGCCTCTGGCTCATGGCACCGCCACAACCTCATACACCTGAGCCAGAGCTGATTCTGCCGCTGAAAGAGTCACTGATGTACTCGGAGCTGGTGTGAGTGCTCCCACCCTGCACCCAGCCAACCTGGAGGGGCATCAGCTGCTCAAGCTTCTTTCCAAGAAGAGGAAAGAGCTGCTAAACTTTGTAACTGTTTTAGTATTTACGGTGTCACTTTCAGAATGTCATTATGTCTGCTGCAGGGACTGAATAAAGTCCCTTCAACTAACAAGTTTGTCTTTTCAACACAGCAGCACTTCCCCCAAATCTTTATCCTGCTATTGGGACCCTTTCTGCAAAGGTAAATAACATAGTTCCTTTACGTTAGATATTCACAGATAGGTTTGGGTTTGGTCCTGAAGTGGCTGCAACTGAACCACCCTTCGCTCCCAGCACACACTGCAGTTCTACCATCATTCAGCACCACCCTGTAACTTACATCATACCATTAATGCACTGACACAAACTGCTGGCTGCTGTTGCCAGAACCACTCCTGCAGCGGCCTCTCCAGAAGGGTAAATCAAAGAGAGAGACGCTTTGCTTCGCTTCCCACCCAACCTGCTGCTCTGCTCATAAACGGGTGACTTGCTGATGGGCTCCACTGAGGGGAACCACGCTGCGCATCGCGGGGCAGGAGAGCCATGCTCCTCATGTGAAACAGATTCAGATGCCGCGCTAGCTTGGCTGTTTCACGCAGCCTGCACTGCTGAACAACAACAACGTGATAGTGCTGTCGAAAACAGCATTCCCAGCAGCATAATAAGGATGCTGATTTCAAGTATTGCCACACACAAAGCAGCCAATCTCCACAGGAGAGAATACCAGAATAAGGGATGGGATCCCCCATTCTGCACTTTCTGCCTTGCTCAAATATGTGTATGATCTGCGTTCCTCTTTCAAAGGTTAATAAAACCAACAGAGGGGCTGAGCTGTTTGCACTCTTCTGCATCTCAACTGACCCTGTATTTGCCAAAACAAATACAAACCTACTGTATTATGGCAAAATAAAGCAAGAGCCCAGACTTTCATCTGCAGCAGATAAGGCACTGCACTGCTTAATACTGAGCCCAAGACAGTGAACTGATCAAACTATAGTGTTTGTTTACATAGACAGTCCTACTCCTCAGTTCCTACTGTCTGTAAATCCCAATGGGAATGGTTCAGTTTTCTTTTGAATTGGATGAGGCAGCTTCTTTCACACCAAGAGCTCCAAGGTCCAGGAAAAACAACAATTATCTGAAGGATTAAGTGACTTAAAAAAGCTGCAGATTATTTAACAGTGAACTTCAAACACATCCTGATTTGAAGCAGGACTGAAATCTTTGATTTCTTGGTGTATTACATTACCAGCTATAGATTCGTAGGATATAATCCAGCCAGGATTCCCCTGTAGCACTGCTTGCTTACACAATACACCTATCTGTGAGGAGTTAATGGCAATAAAGAAACAGAAGACTGAGGAGCCAAAGCATTGAATGTCTCCACTGATCTTGTGTGAGCAAAAGATTAAGTTATGCTTATCTGAAACAGCAAATGCATCTTCTGAAATGTATCAAGGTAGGAAAGCTTAGAGGACCTTTCTTCATGTTTTCCTTATTTATCAAGGACCAGAGTGCTGTGTAGGCAGGTTCTGGCAAAATCTCTGCTTCTCCTTCCAAACACAAACTAAATGATGACCAGGTTTAATCCAAAAGGTCCACAGAGAACACTGCGCTCTGAAAAGCTACCACACTGTGACACAAAACAGCAGTCAAAATACTTCCTATATAACACTCCACTGAATCCTTTTGGGGCAAACAGCTGACTTGTGAATGTGTAATGTGTCTGAGATGCCACCTGGGTATCTGAGGAGAGCCCGTGTTATCCCAAATGGCTTTGTTTCCTGCACTAAGTTGACCGTGCAATGGCAGTGGCAATTGACCAAGCACTGTCAAGTAGAGGCTGCAGTTCCCTCTATTGACAGCCTACCACACAACCCTTTCTGAGCAATGAAAAGCACATTTTGCAGTACAGCAAGCCATATTAGTCCATGTACAAAATAATGCACTTTGTGGCATTGTACAGACTTTTAAAAGGCTCTATCTGCAACACAGAGCAATTTCAGGGCTGGGTATCTCTGTGAAAGCAAATAAAGTAGTAATAATAATAGTATTAAATATAAGTCATAGCACCTTTGGCATTTTTGTCCAAATAGACTTCAACATATGACGTAGGGACATAGCCCTCCTCATCTTCGTTCCTTCGGATTCGTGTCCATCCATCACCTTTGTCTTCTTCTATTACGTACAGCATTTCTCCTTCTGCTACAGAAATTGTTCCTTCATTCTGACCTGAAAAACAACAACATGGAGTTTAGGGTCTCCTGCACAATGGGAACCACAGATGTGGTGGCTGCTCAGGCCATTCATGGACCATGTGCTGATGCAACCTCTGCTTGCATGACAAGCAGCAAGAACAAGAGCACATGATTCTGGTGAGTACAAAAAGAATCAAATGAATGTGGTCCTGACATCGGAGTTTGGGTTCTTTTTCTGCAGAGTCCCTGTGCAACAGAAGACAAATCACTGTCTTAGTGCCTCTGTGCAAAACAGAGCCATGCCAGAGCCTCACTTGCCCTTTCTTTGTCTATTTAAGCACTGCAGAAGTTAAATGAATGTTTTCAACTTGTCCTTGGCATGTGAATTAACTGAAACACTAAGTGAGTGAGAGTAAAGTTTGAGTGATACCTTCAAATGTATAGAGCGCTTTACATGTTCCTATGGTGGGTAGTGGTTCTTCATCGTCAAATTCATCGTCAAAATCCGTTGCAGGTACTTTCATCTCAGTCTCCTGACTTTGCTCTTCTGTGTAACTGCCATCTGGGCTGCTCAAGAGAGGAAAATACACAGCAACTATAGCGACCAATCCCAGGAGGAGAGAGTATGACTCAGTTACCTTACACTTAAGGCAAGGTGAGCAGCTGGAGCAGCTTGGCAAGTCCAAAGCATGCTCAGAACTGGCTGTAGCAGCTCTCAAAGTGATGGGTGACACCACTCACTTTTCTCATCAAAAGCTGTAAAATAATGCATCTCACTTGCCTTCACAGCAGAGAGTGGAGGGGCTATTGCACGTTTTGTCATAGTCAGAAAGCAGCTCTTAAAGCTGGAACGCTGCACATGCTAAAATCAGTATGCAGATCACCTCATGGAGTGCCTGCATTTAGTCTGGTTACAAGACTAATCACAGCATCACAGCACAGTCTGGGTTAGAAGGGACCTTAAAGATCATCACATTCCATCATCTGAGGTTCGGAACACTGCAGAGCTGCAGTTTTCCTGATGAATAAGCTCAGGGAAGCGGGTGCAGTTGTGAGCCTGAAGAGCTCTGTACAGATACTGTACCTCTCCCGGTCCTGTGCACAGCTGTTCACTGCTGAGGGGTTCTGGGCTTCATAGAGTCCGCTCTGGCGCCGGGCCTCACTGCGCATGGACAGCCTGCCCTCCACCTCTGCCAGCCAGCCCTGCCAGGGGAGAGTGGTCCCATGTACCCATCAGTGCTTCAACTTGCAAAGGGATGTACGTTGCTTTTACTTTGCTGTATCATATTTGACATTCAGAGTATAGAACTAAAACCAGTCTGTGAGCATGTTTGAGCTTTCCTTTGGGTTACAGTCATGGGGGAATAGATTCTGTACATGAAGTGCACACTGAATCTATTGGTCTCGCCAAACTTACTGAAAACTTAATTCTTTTTTGACATTGGGTGCTGAAAACACCCAAGAGAAGCAGTTAACAACAGCTGTTGGGAGTCACAATCTGCTGCTGTAGTCACAGTTAAGATGTGTGATAGCTTATAGCGGTCTCAATAGCACCAGAAACACAGCAATCTCACTGACTGCTGAGTGCAAGAGGGCTAAAGCTGGGGAGAGTGAAAGAGCCAGATTTTCAAATGGGTAGGAAAGCAATGGATAGTAAAGGCAACAACCATAAGAAACATCTAGTATTCATGGATTGTATCTATTTATGTACATAGTGTCTTTTCTCAGACCTATAATTCTTCTTGTGTAATTATGACGGCTTCACATATTCCAACTACTCCTTATGCTCTTGAGATTTTGTATCTCCAAGAAGCTTCCTGTTAATGGCAGACTATTCCTTAGAACATATTTCATCTGCTGACTTCTGTCTTGCTCTTGGACTATAAATGGTGCTTTGCACTTATGTTCCTCTGATTTTCCACAGACATCTGTAACATGATGCTTCCCATTATTTAATCAATTAAGCATCCGAACCCCTCTGGGCAGTCCAGAGAGCACTACATTTACTCTTAACCCTCCACTTAACATGAGTTGGTCTCTCTGGCAAATTAAACAGCAGGACTGCTGGCTGACAGTCACAAGAGATGGTGTACATTCATGTTACGCAAACAGGCTCAAAGATCTCAATTAATCCAAGTGCTTAAGCAGCACTTACCCATGCATAGTAAGAAAACTCAGCAACACATCTGGAAAAGCACTGAAGCATCAGCTTAGAACTCAGCGTGAGCTGAGCTGCTTTTCACTGAGATGTCTCTTCCCATACCTCAAACTTCTGAACTTCCAAGCGTAACTTCTCGATGTTCTGTCCAAGCTCTGCCAGCCTGTGGTCCACACTCGCTGCATCTCCCATCTGTGGGTTCTTGATATACACATCTTTCATTTTCGTTAAGGCGTCTCTGAGAGACAGAAGGAAAATAAAACACGGATGTGTTAGTGCAGCTGGGGACAAATGGAAGGGTAATGAACTGCCTCTTCTTTAGTCTGTGGTTCAAGCCTAATCTGTTACAGATATAACTGAGAATATCCACACAAGGGCTTCTGCCCTGTATAGAACCAGCTTTTAAAGAAATAACAGTAAAATCACTGCCAGAGAGAATTCATTGTCGGAGATGGAAAAAAGTGAGTGACACCTTTACCTACAGAGTAACCTGACACAGACACTCCACACAAGCCAAACTCTTCAAGCTCCTACATTCAAAGGAGCTCCTTGCTCTGTAGGCAGCTGAGGAGTGTGGGGCTACACAGGAGATGTGCTGTGTTGGTACAACAACAGAGCACATTTAGACCAAATGACTCAAGCTTCAAGTGCCCCACTTGAAGAACCCGAATAGAAAAATGACTGAATTCTTGGACAGTGGCCTTTTGCAAGGCAAAAAGAGGGCTCTGGAGTTGATTTTTAACCTGACATGTTCTTTTATTCACCACTACAGTATCCATTTGCTAACCCTGGGGAAGAAAAATAATATAAAACAAACCTCCCCTCACATAACCATTGCAACCAGTGACAGCTTCAACTTTCTAGATGATTACTACCCCAGTTTTTGGGGCACAGACAAACAGTTGCATCATTATTCTTCATCATGGGCTGAAATCCAGTTGAGAAACTGGGACAAAGGGCTGGACGTGGACATATTAGTAATAAGAATGGAGTGCTGAGCAGAAATTCTCACCCTGCCTGTTGTAGTTTGTCTTTTGCAAAGTCCCTTTTGTGAGATATCCATTTCACACTGCTTAAAATGAAGCTAAATCCAGATGGTTTGTATTTGTCACTGCGCTGTGACAGATGGACCTTAAGCCACATAATATGACCCTGCATCCTGTTAAGTTATACAGCGTTTATACTAGACTCTTTCTGGGGGCTGTGTCTCATCTCAACCCACATGCCAAATGCCTGGGGTTTCAGAGATGGTAATTTTCAGGCTTGCTATGATAGATGTGGTACCATAAGGCCAGGATTAATGTAGTAGATGCCTTCATGAAGTCCTTTAGGAAGCCTGCAGAGCTCTTGCTGACAGCAGCATGTTGCCTTTGACCTGAATCAAGCTCAGGAAAAAAGTTATCTGCATGATGATGAACATTTTGGAGCTTAGAGAAGGGTGGACTTACAATTACTGGCCCAGCTATTCAGCTTCCCTCTAGGCATTAGATGGGGGGAGAAAGGTTAATGGAAGTCCCACGACTCAAGTTAGCTATTTCTGTGTTATCCAGTTTCCCACCAAACTCCTGACAATTGCAATCCTGTGTCTGCCTTTGCTTTGTGTGTATAGAAAATGGGGAAAAGTGTGGGTGGCAACGAAATGGGACTGCTCTGTGGCTGGAGTCCTAAGGGACAATACTGCAAGTATACGAATCATGATTATTACTATTTTAACTCTTATTTAACTGCTGGTGCTGCTTCCTCAATCATCTACTAGCTTTATTTTAAATAACTTCCTTCTGCTCTGATTTCATATCCAGTTTTAATGCTGATTTACCTCAGAATCAACACAGAGCAGAAAGGAAAATCCGTACAGAGACCAATATAAGATACCACAGAGGGAAAAAGACAACGGAGTAAGAAAACACATAACCACATGCAGTTTTCCCTTCTTTTTTATGATATAAAGCATAAAGAAGAAAGCCTGGCTTAATATGCAAAATAAACAGGTTCTTCAAAGCAAGCTATCAGAAAAGGTAAGTCCATCTGGACAAATGCAGAAGAGTATTAAGGGACAGAACTAATACAAGAGAGATTAAGTCCTGAAATCATTCAAGGAAGGAAAGTTCTGCCTCTTTGCAAACATAACACGCTGAATCCTTAATGCAACTGCAGAATGTGAACAAACACAAAGCAACAAATACAGGCTGCCAGAATCAAGATAAAGATGTGTGACTAAAATAGCCTTATTCTCAACCAGAATGATAAAATGCAGCCTTGTAGCAAAAGCATCCACAAAAGCACAGGAGTCATTATCTTCCTGCTTCCAGGAAATCTAAGCTACAGATCGGAGAGTCTCAAGATACACATGAATCAATCAGCACTTCTGACAATGTGCACATGCTCCTAATAGCCCCCCTCACTGGGATCTCCCCATGCCCATCATACACTAATAGCTCACATCAAGAAACAAACAAAGTGTATCCAACAGCCATCTTTGTCTGGATCAGGATTAAATCGCTGCTCTCCTGTGAAAGCTGAGGGAAGCAGCTCCAGAAAGAAGGAAAAACCGTCTCCAATTGCTATGCTTGTATCATTCCCATCCTTACATGAGGATCTTCTCATGATTCCAAGGGCAGGATGTGCATTACACTGAGGCTGGAGAATGGAACACTCAGCAAGCCAGCTTTTGTCCCAGCTCTGACCTACATCAGCCAAAATTAAATAACTGGTTTCAGCATCTGAGCTGCAGAGAGCCCTGCAGCTCTCGGGTGTTTTTAGCCATACGTAAACTGGTGGCTCCTTCCTTGGAACAGCACGTGAAACAAACATAGAACCTTGTTCTTATTTGCACTTTCTTGCCTTTTACTTGTTTCTGTTCTATAAGACTTAACTCATTCCATTTCTCATCAGAGGGGTTTTTGATGTACCTTTGATCCATCTCCTTCTGAATGTCTCTGTTTAGCTCATCAACTTTTTGCTGAAGCTTCTTTCTTCTTTGCTCAGGTGGGAGATTGCTGAAGTCTTCCGGCCCTGCTCCCTGCACAAAGTGGAATGGGGCGGGGGAAATAGAAGGGGAAAAGAGAGAATCAAAGCCTGAAAGAATCCTTCAGGATTGCATTTTGAAAGCAGCTCACAAAAATCTGTGCAAAACCACAATGGTCTGAAGCATTGTTATCACTTGTACTGAGAGTCATCCATCCCTGCATAGTATCTGGATGCCTTAGAAATAATCCCAGAACCATATCCCACCTCCATACCAAATAGCTAAAGGGAGATCACCAACAAAGAATGCCAGAATTCACCAGCAAAGCTGAGAAACTCTTTTTATCCATAGTTATTATCAAGTTTTATTGAAGAGTTCCATTCCCACAGAAAGCTGATCTTTCCTGCTTTCCTCTCCTCTGCCACAGACAGGACTCCCATAAAGGCAGTTGCCAGCTTTCAATGCTGTGTCACAGTCACATCTCTCATGTACACCCTAATTGCTGGCTTGCTCTACACAGTCTGAGTGTTGGTTCAATACAGTTAATTTCTGCCAGAGCCCTCCTGACCACACTAAGATAACAGAAGCACTTCCTCTGGGACTCTACAATTTAAAAACATGCTGCTTACTTTCCAGGATCCACCTTCCATGTCAAAGTCTCTCAATTTCTCCTCTCTCACTGGTACTAGTATAGAAATGAGGAGTTATATCAAAGCCATAGAATCAACCCATTTAAAATCATAACCGAAGAAAAAAAAAAGATCTTAAGACCACAGCAGTTACCTTGGTGTGGTTCTGCTTGAAAACCCTTTTTCTGCCTTCAAAATGCTATGCCTCTTCTTGATTGCCTCAATTTGATACAGCACAGAGATGACACATAAAATACATCCATACTATTTTCCTCAAAGTACCACTTATTTTTGTCTTGCAAGAAGGCAAGGAGGATCGTTCACTGTGCTGAACAAGGGGGATGCTGGGCTATACTGAACACACATCAACACCAACCACTTGCACCATGAGGGAATGAGGTTCTTGTACACAGACTTGTACAGGTTTTTCTTGTTTTGATTTCTGCTCATTCCATCTCCCATTTCTAAAGGGGAAAAATGGCCTATGGCAGAAAGAAGAGCAAACCCATAAAAGCTGAGTAAATTCAGTGGCCCATCAGCTTGCTGAAAGCTTGTGAGCAGCGTTGGCAACATTAGTCTTACTGAAGTACCAAATCTCTCTCAGGGGAGCATGATGTAGTGGACACAGTGCCACTGAAGCTGCCCATCAGACCCTTTCAGCTCTGCATTCAATGTGCTCCCAGACACAGTTCTCTTTCTTCTGCAACTACAGAACAAGCTGTTTAGAAAGCGTGTGGGTGCCAGAGGGATGGAGGACAACTACACACAGGTCATCTCCTCCTCTGGTCTAGCCGTTCATAACTAACAGAACAGGCCTAATGAAATTGCTGCTTATTGATTTTCAGTTGAAGGTGGCCTTTCAGTTAAAATTAAGCCTTGGCCACCTGTATAAAGCTACACTTAAAATGCCATTTATAAGACAATGAGAAAGCAAATTTAAGACAAATGAAGGAAACAACTGTGGAAGTTACACTGATTCTGAAACTTCAGCCACATGAAGTCCTAGCAGTGCTTACATTGCTTGTTGTGCCTGGTACCAGAGATGTGTTTTCATTCATTCTTTAATGATAACATTTTGCATGTCACATTAGACATGAGAATGATTCAGCATCTTTTGCAGACTGAAGCCATGCATATCTTTTTAAGACAAAGCATCTGGAGGTAGGTTTGTATATGAAAAAGCAGTAGAAGAAAGACTGTAACAGTCTCAATTCTAAGCAGAATAGACATATGCTTGGAAAATATCCCCACTTATACATTATGAGAATGCAAGAGATGTACCCAAACAGATGTGGAAAAGCATCTTATTTGATTCTTCAACTTCATTCAAAAGCCCTGCACTGGATTAAATTCAGTATCTTTGCTCACAATGCTTCAGACCAAAGCATTAGTGTTGCATAGAAATGCATGCCCCAGAGCAGGAGGTGATCTCACTCAGACTTTATTCCATGCTTGATAACAGAAGCTATAGCTCCTCCCCCAAAAGGAAGAGTCAAGGAGTAAATATTGCACATGCTGGGAACATTCCATGCTCTCAAGCAAAACTACACCTGGGCTGCCTCTCTGGTGAACACTGCCTACGTTTCTAGAAATGCTTCAACACTGAGGTGGAGGGAGATCTGTGCTATTGCTGATGTGCTATCATAGGACCAGGAGAGCCAGTCTCAATAGATTTCCTTGCCTAATCCTGGGATTTAGGATGCAACTGTTACAAGATGAAGGACTGTGAAAAGAGAGGTCATGCCAGGACCAGTTTTCAGGCTGAAGCTATGCATGGGGAGAACACAAGGTTTATCAGCCCCAGGTTTGGCTCTTGCACAGCTAGGATCCAAGAGGAGATCACAAGGGAAGCAGATTTCCTCTGTCTGAGGCACACGTTGGTCTCATCCCTGTCTGCATGTCTCTTATTTGTGCAGTTCTTGGGGAAAGAAAGGTCAGCCACTTATTTGGGGATTATTTATTCCTATATAAAAGCTTAGCTCAGATACCCAACACACCAGCACTTTGACCAGAACACAGCAAATGGAAACCCCTGGTATAAATACGTTGTACTACTAGGACAGTGGCTTGGCAACAGCCAAAAGGACAAGTCTTGGCAGTAAGCTGGACATTTCCATCGTTCCTCAGACCTACCACACATCTTCAGTGAGAAGCAACATGGCTATTCAAGCTCAAGCAAGTCATTGTGTTGACAGAGCAGCAGCAGGACCTGAACCTCCAGAGCTACATACATGGCCTACATGTTTCCTCAAAATAAGCTGCTACAAACAGAGCAGGTCCACAATGATGCATTCAAGAACATGTAAGCAGGGGGAAGTGGGCACCTGAAGGCACTAAGTGGTGAGGAATAAGCAAACTTTCAAGCTAAGGCAGTTAAGGCATTACTGCAGATACCCCGAAGCTCTCCAAAACTGCAACTAGTGGCTCCTGCATGCTTGCATGAAGGGAGTCAGCAAACCAGTCACATTCTCTTTGTGGCTGCCTTCTCAGAGGGCAAAGGAATGTGGACCAGCTGTCAGGACCCTATCAGTGTGGCGTATCTAAGCAATGCAGTACCTTTTGTATGAAGTTCAGCACATAATTTGCTTTCCCAAATATGCCCACCCCTTCCCTTTCCAACTCAGTAATGTGTTATCTTACCGTAGTTCACAGAAACTTTCCCAGCTGCATCCAAGATAGAATTTAGGATTCATACTTATATACATATATGTATCGCCATTTGTGAATTCAAATCAGTCTGAGTTAACCTTGTTGGTTAAGGTTCACAGAACTTTAATTAATATCATTATTAGTTATTCTGAAGGACTACATAGGGCTGTAAAATGTAGGTGGTAATAATGTAGATTTCCAGTAATACCTGGACATGGAAAGCAAACTTTGCAGCTCTGTTACACAAAGACATGCGTTTCTCTCTGGAAAAGCTCCAGCAAGCACAGAGACCTTTGTGTGTTATTTTCCTTTAAACGTTTTAATGTGTGCTTATACAGTAACAGAATCGCTTGATCCTGGGTTTCTACATTTTCAGAGCCCTAGATTATAAAAGTGAAAACTAAACTATGTATTAGAGTTAATTTTTAGCAGCTTATTAGAAAGACTGAATTCTGATCACCTCTATTAGGCTCCAGACCTGCGTATTCAAATTTATCTGATAAATATCCAAACAAAAAAAAGGCAAACACAAAGAAGAAACAAATTTCACAGTTAATTTCAGTGTCATGTCACATTGTGGCACAGTGCACATTAGAACATACACAGAAAATGGTGATTAAAACACAGGACAGGCATGCTGTAAATGTGCTTACCAGCTTGAGAGAAAGCTTCATGTAAAAATTGGAGAGATAACAGGGTAGGGGGGGGAGAAAGAGAAAAAAACAACAATGCATCAGTAGAAGAGGAACTTTTTCAGACTGACGTTACAATAAAATGACACATAATCCCCTTGCTGTTGGAAGGCAAAATGGGTAACACTAACAGATCTGTGCAAAAGTTCACAAGTGTTATCAGTCAGCTGCCGTTTCCTCGCCAGAAAGAGAAATGGAAAAGCTTTGTACCTCTACACATGTGCTTTAGTAGGTGAAAAACTGGCCTGGATTGATTGCCTCAGCCACAACACAGATTTATGTTATTACGGTGGTAAAGTGGACCTTGCAAATCTATACAACCCACTTTAGATCAAAACTGTGCTGCAATGCAGTCACAAGCATCAACCACTTTATGCAAGGGCTTAAGAGAAGGGAGATAACACCTAAAAAAGGAAGAGGTAAGGTACATCACTTGGCCTCCAGCAGCAGAAGCACAGTGGCATCTCCAGTGATTTCCTAGCTCTCAGGTCTGTCTGCAAAGGACAACATCCCTGAAACATTCCTGTTGATCCCAGTGCTGTCCAGGCTGTCGTGGTTTTGAACAATTAAAAGCAAATACTCAAACGTCCTTTGGCCATACAGTCAGACAAGGTCACAACCAAGGAAGAGGGGAAAAAACCCAAACCTTTTCTCTTTACACCAGGCTCCTTAAATGATATACGTGATCCAATTCTTCAAGAGGTACCACATTTTCTGGTGCAGAGCCAACACATTATCTTCTGGTTGCTCTGGGAATGTAAGGCTAAATAGAAGTGCAAGCTCACAGAGCCTCTGCAGCAGCATGACTGCCTCTGCCATACATCACTTACACATACAGCCCTCAGCAGCGGTAGCCTCACAAATCTGCTGATGTGGGTGAACACATGGAGCTGACCACTGACGTTACCAAAGCCTCTTCCAGTGCTGCAAGATGTTTTGACAGCTGCAACTCAAAAGGTGTTCCGAGATAGGGACATTAACAGTGTGCTCCTCTGTTCCATGCCATAGAGCACAAGGTAAGCTGCTGTTCAAGACAGCAAGTCAGACTTTAAAGGCAGAATCAAAACTACAGCCAGCCTCCTCCTCCAGCAACCTGCACTGTGGCTGCCCTACCAGCTCTCTGGGGATGGTTGTGAAATGCTCGAAAACAAGGAACTTGTAAGTGCATAAAATGCACTTGATTGGCATTAAAGAGAGCAGAAATGTAGAAGCTGGGAACTCCCTCTCACTCCAGGCAATGATCTGTGCTGTCAGGCTTCAGAATCTCTTCCCACTCAAGAGCTACCAACAGCTCCTGGGTCTGCTGCTCTCGAACGGTCCATTTTTAGCAGAAGCACGGCTCATTAGGATTGGATTGAAAAATCAATAAAGGTGGCTCCACATCTATAGTGGTTTTGACAGCATGACTGGAGAAATATGCATTTTTAACAAGTAACAATTCCCATTGGTTACTGGAATTTGTACAGCAATGATGTCAACCATTTGAGGAAAAGAGACAGCCTTCAAACACTGCATTTGAGCTGGTGTGCTCAGGGGCAACGCAGCGCTTAAACTTCCCCCTGAGGTTCAGTCCATGAGGAAGTAAACGCATGATAATAATGACAGGGCACTGAAGAAACCCGCTCTCACAGCTAAGAGGCCATTATAAAAACCAAACAAACCCAAATCATTTGAGAGAATAATCATACACATGGAAGGAGAAAGAATGATCTAAAATAGGCAGCTGAAGAAATTCAGCATCGGCAGCTTTTTAGTTCACGTAATTGCTTTAGCACTCCTGTGAACTTTAGCATAGACATGATCAGCACAAATTGAGATCCTTGTACATATAGACAGACAAGACTTATGGTGCAGAATATTTACCTATGAAGCACTCTATAAAAGGCACAAATGTATGCTACATGCGCTAGTTGCTAAACACTACTCACTCTAAAGGCACTACATTACTGCGAAGAATCATCTGCATCAAGACTATTCTTTTGCTGTAAATTCAGCAAATTTGAAAGGGATTATAGACACTCTATGTCAAATTCTTATGCTGTTAAGTATGACAAAAATAGAGAACTTATTAATAGCATTTCCAAATAGTAACATCAGGGATTGTTATAACCAGTACAAATAACAAAGCAGATCGTAGACTGGAAACAATGAAATGCTGAAATAAGTCATATTCACAGTTTTCCATTTCTGAAGTGTATTTGTAATTTTACATGACAGTGATTCAGTTTCTAGAAACAGACAGACGCAGAGTGAAAATAAATCTGCGTTAAACACTAAGGAACTACTCTGGCCCATTCTGTTGGGTTTTCACAGCCAGAAACCTCCTCACAGCTCCTGGGAGAACAGGGGTATCTTTCCCCTGGATGATCAAACAAGTCACATTTCTGCAAAAGGAACAAATCCATTTCAAGCTGTCAATTTAAAACAAGTCTAGCTTAGTCTTGAAGGGAAAAAAAATGAGCCTAAGAGCCACAAGCTTCAATAACACATGAGAGAGCATGAAAGCCAGCAAGTCCATGTGTTATTGGACAGTCACGGACACTAACCTCACTTACAGAACACAGGCTGAAATCAACCACTGGACTTCCACACAACCAAGAGGTAATTTTCTTAGTGGGCCTGTAAAAATCTCCCCACGTTCTGCTTTACTCAAGATTTAGAGGTCACACATCTTGATTCCATGAACTATCATCATTAGAGAGTTCAAGGAAAGTCCCAAAAGCTCCACAAACAAGGCAGCGTCACTGCACTGCTGTCAATCAGGGGCTGGTTCATGGTGCTCAACTGCAGTCATGAAATACCTTGGAATAAATGCCTGGAACCTGTTTGTAGTACTTACTCTGAATTGCACAGGTCCAGCTACTAGAATTTTGCCAATTTCAGCATTTCTAGGAATAGCAGACGTATCTTTCCTGCACGTAACACAGTCAAGCTGCCACTTGCCTCTTGCCAAATTCTCCTTTTTATCTTTTACCAAGCGCATTTCCACAGCACACGCTAAGGGCGTTGTAAGTGGGGTTAGCGACTGTGTAGCAACTGTATGGGCTGATCACACCATCCATGGACTTACAACATATTCCCTAGCCTCAATGGCACACGTGGGTGTCCCTAAAGTCCTCTTCATGAGCTCTTTGTGAATATACAAAGACTGTGTCTGCTGGCGAGTCAGCAAGAGAAAACACACATCCGTTACACTGGAGACGAGCACAGCACCTCTGGGTTTACTGCTTCTACAGCAAAAGACAGCTTTGGCCTTTAACAAACCTTTAAGTGCAAAGTGGAAGCTTCTTAGATATTAAGAGTTTAGCATTCTCACAAAAATCAGAAGATACAGTGATTTTAGAATGGCTTAAACACACAAGTCAGAAAACGTCTCTCTTTAATGACAGCACCCACCAAAATATCTTGGGTCTTGGCACGGATACATAGCCTTAGGTTTGACTAACAAGTATTCCCAGGGGCAGGGAAGAGAGCAGGATGGGGGGGTGTGGTGTGGTTTGTTTGCTGCTTCTGCAAGCTCACGGACCAAAGTCGTGATCACTCAGGCAGACCAACAGCTGAGTATGGAGGGAGAAGACTGCACAGCACGGCACAGAAGGGATGGCAAGGGAAACTGTTAATGTTAATGGTGCAATGGAAATAAAATCGTGTTTTAATGAAGTCAACAACTTCCACTAAAAAGGAAACCACAAAAGTTCCTCCATGTCCCTTATGGAACCATCTGGAAGCTGGGACTCTGATAATGACAGTAATATCTGCATCTCAGCTCCCAGACCCATCCGCTCTGCTTAATCACAACCCAGTCTCCGAGGTAAGGGGGAAAAAGACACATCATATCACACAGAATAATTCAAAGGTGTAAGTTCTACCCCTGGATTTTGTTAGTTCAGAAGTACTGCTCTTTAAATAAAGGTGCTGATGTTACTGCCGCTATAGCAATAAACCAAAAGAACAAAATTAATATCAACTAGCAGAATACAGAGGGGTTTTTTTTTGTCCTGAAAAGGAATTAGAAAAAGCAGAGCAAGCATAAATGAAATTATAACTTCTGGTGGTTCCTCATTTCTTGACTTTAACTTCCCTGAAGAGACAGAAGTGTTACACTATTCTATTCTGCCTTTTTAAAAAGCTATTAGAAACAGCGCTCACAGAAACTGTGTAAAAGAGATTTTTTTTGTTCCCCTTTTATTTCTGATGCATGACAAATGCTGTAACAGTTTTAAGGTATTCTCTGTAATGGACATTTCTGCTGTTGGGGTTAGAAGAAAGAAGCTTTGAGGGGAGTACAAAAAATGTGATTAGAAAACCAGAGACACTGTCAGGAGTCTGCACCTAAATATGTTAAAATTGTTATTTATTATTTATTTTTAACAGACTAGGATTTCATATTGGCAGTGACCACTGATACTGGTATTGGCACCTCTACACTAACCTTGCATCTGTTGTAAATTGCTCAAGCATCTGCTTCCTTCCATGAAAACAAGTTTCACTGGAGTTTTGGTTTGGAAGCCAAATTAAAACCAGAGCAGGCACAGAACAGATTACTAATTATATAATTCATTTCAACAGTCACCAGTGATTTTTCCACTTCAGCTTCATAATTTCTCTTTCCAAATGCAATGCTAGATGCTAACCTGATATTTTATAAGGAAATTACTAAAACATACTGTCTCTTCAGACACGTTCTGATCTCAAAGATGCCATGGGAATCCATTCACTTGTTATGTTTCAAGGACCAATTACAACGTGCAGTTCTGCTGCTGGTATTTATCCACGTAAGCTCTTAGTATCTACTGCACTTGTTCACATTAAATAGTTCATTCACTTATTCCTTAAACCAGTGTGAAAAAGGAGCATGGTCCAGTTTCCTTTGATTTTCTGCTTTTATAGGAGTGAAGAGCTCGGTTATCAACAAAGCCCGGGAGGACTTGCTGCTCAAATTGGTTGAACACTCTAAAATCCTACTTTGAATGCCTTGTGGCCACCTTTCCTGCAAGGTGTCTGGCTGGAGGGGAATTCTGCCTCTGAACAAAACCAGCAGTGCAGAAAGTATTCTGAGCAAATGAGGTTATTCAGGGTCCAAAGCTCCGTTACACTGTGCTGTCCTGATGGCCCCCTGCATGATCTTTCCAAGAGCCGCTTCACTGATGTACTTCTGTACAGAGCAAATGTTCTTTGTAGAGGGCAGTTTCTCCTCTATGTCCTCCTCATTTCTTTGGTAACATCACAATCCAGTATTTATAGCATGACTGCTCGTGCTCCTGAGCAGAATTCAGATGCTTTTGCATTTGACAGGGGGATGGTAAAGAACTGATAAAAGGGAATTTCATAAAACTTAATTTGGTAAAAGCAGAACTGACAGTATTGTGTAGCTGTGCTGAATATCAAGCAGGATGTATCAACCACCTCAGCTGAAACAAATGCCAACCACTCCTTTTTCATCTGATAAATTAACAGGATTTGGCAGTGATTCTTGATTTATATTTTTAACTGCTTAGAATTACTTCATTTTTAACAGTCATAGGGCACATTCATGATCTTTTAGTCTGACCATTTGTATGACACAAATCACCAAGGACCTCTGAAATGGGAACTTGACACGTTTTCAAATCAGACAGAGCAGGCTGCCAGGGCTTTGCAGCCTCTCCTACTCTGTATTTCTAGATGAACCAAGTGGACTTAATTCACCCCTCTGGAAAAAAGAGACCATCTGAACACTGTGCTCCAACTCCATAGGATGAGTCAGGCAGGAAAAGTATTTACACATACAAACATCCTGGTAACTAGCAGGGGAAGGAAATGAACTAGAAAGAGCACAGTGAAAGGTTTAAATGAAGATTTAGCAATAGCTTTTCCCTGCCCATTTTCAATTAACTTCTCAGCAGAGATTTGAGGGATTCCAGAGAAAACTACAGGAAATTGTCATTACTTCACCTTTCAGACCAATATGGGTATGCAGAATTTAAGACTTGCTTGGACTTCTCAGATCATTAATAAATAAGACAATAGCCTTGCTTCAGGAAATATTAAAGCAAATAGTTATAATTGCTTATATGGCCAAACACTCACTACATCAGAATTTGTGCATTTGAAATACACACTTGTGAAGTGCCCATGGAACTGCAAACTAGTGTTTTCCAATCACGGTTGAAATACCCAGCACCCTCTTCACTATTCTGCTCTGTGAATGGCACTACTGGAGCACCAGATCATAACACAATCACCTTCAGCACTGTCTTTTTCTCCACAAGAAAGTGCCACCTGCCCACCAAGACAGCCACTACCTGGCACATCCTCCAGGTCTGCTGCTGCAGAAGCAGAACTGAACACTTGTCTCCCCCCATAAAAGCCACTGAGAGAAGATGCTCTGAGCCAAACTGCAACTGAGGGAAGGAGGTAAAACTTACAGAACCTGCCTTTGGACAACTTAGAAACTTCCCGCTTCCCCAGTGAAATGTGATGGTTTTAGGTTCTGAAAGTCCCAGTACATGGCAATTCCCTCAGAAACAGCAGAAAACCACTCGATAGAAAACATCTTTCTTTCCATGTACTGTCTGTAACCAGATGAGACAATGTTGTTTACAGCAGTGTTCTCAATTCTTTGTAACTAACCACTGCAGTTCCCCACTGAAATCAGCTCTACTTTTATGCAACTCCAGTCCTAAATGTCAGTGCAGTCCCTGGAGCAGAATTTGGGCTTTTTAAAGTAATCACTTCCTTGCTGTTAGTGTCTGCTCTGAAAAACCTTCTAAAACACTGAACACTTGCGTCTCCTTCCTGTAATTTTTTTATAGGAGGAAATAATTCTAAGGACCTTAACCCAGGAGTCAAAGCCCTGCTATGCCAGCACTTTTTTAATGGTGCATGTGCACAATGTGCAAGGTTCTGGGATGATAAAAGTCATCTTTTTGTTTGAAAAATGGACTATTTTATCTCAGGAACCTGTCATTTTACTTACTGCTTATGAAGATGACCAAAGAGAACAATGAATTCAACACAAACACTTCAACATGGGTTTACCAACATAGCCACAGCTGCTGTCAGCAACAGGAACAGAGCAGCTGACCCAGGAAAATTGAGGCCACACTTCCTACACTATCAGTGGCAAAGGAGGCAGGGACACTGAACTTAGACCAGTGGTGATGTGTCACAAGATGCTGATCTAGACCCAGGTGAATCCCCAAGGTCAGCCACAGAGGCTTTCAGCTTCTTTGCACTGTACAATGCCTAAACAAGCATCTAGCAGGAATAAAATCCAAACCCTGATACCCTCAGAACATCTCAGCTGTGGCTTGGAGCTTGCCTAGACTGATAAAGGTTTTGCACACAGAACATAACAAACCGTGTGCATTGTAGCACTGGGAAGTGAAAGTTGGTTCAGAAACAAATAAAAAAGTCTGTGGACTTAATGGAAAAAAGCCAGAAAAAGTACGTTCTGGCCTACAATTCTGCATGCTAATGTGCACAGGGAAGGACCATGGAACTTGACTTTTTCTCCCTGGCTTTGCTATGATTCATCACAAAGTTTATTGAACTCTCAGTTAATGTCTTTCCTCCACTGTTTGCAGCTGTTACTGGCTATTACAAGGTTTTCAACTTTGTACTTCAGCAAAGATAGTTCATTGGTACTCAAAGGGTCAAGAATAAAAACTGTGGGGGGAAAAAAAAGCATTTAAACCCAATTAGAAAAAGAGTTTAAAGAGCATGGCAGGAATTCAGCTTTTTCATGGGCACTTTTAAAACTGTTTAACCTGCTGGCTGCTCAAGGAGGCCCAAAGGCAGACGTGACACACTTGCTGAGAAGCAGGATTTCTTTGGCTCTCTACAGGAATCAACTCCAACCTTCCTTTCTTGTTCAAACTCACGCTATAGGATGCGCTTAAGGTCCTTGAGAAGTGTCAGCCCCAAAGATTTAGAGCCAACTGCAATGGAGATAGCTTCAGGGAACGTTAAATTTGGTCCCCCCTCCAATCTCCACCCACATGTAGACCTGGGTTACAATATATGTGTACCATATGAACAATTTATTATCACCTAGAATCAGTTCATCTTTCACATCTTATCATAAGACTCAGACTGACTAAGCAAGCTAACATTGCAGCACTCGAAGCATGAGCTGACACCAAGTGTGTGGATCAGAAGTTGCTCACAGAAGCATACATGGCCATAAAATACAGGGGAGTCATCTTCCTACTACTGCAGCAAGAGGTGTCAGATCATTTCAAGGAAATGCTCCAATTTGCACCAACTGCAGTTGGAAGAAGTATTCCCTCATTTACTCTTACCCTTCTGAATCCACCCTGCAAAGAGGAAAACTTCTCACATTAAGGCAGACAACATGCAGCATCAGGATGAGAGTAAACCTCAGAAAGCTGCTCCTCCACACCTACTCTGCCAGACATACACAGGTCTACCAAATTAATGACTTCGACTTCTACATGAATATCACTTAATGTTTAGCTCTTCCTTCCTTACTTTGGACAATCCCTCCTCCTCCAAAAACCCAAATGGGTCATTTCCATCAGCAACTGTACTTTTTGTGGTTTCACTGTGGGGGTTTTGACTAAAGATGGCTTTATAGGTTGGGATTTCTTGGATTTGTCTGCATGTTATGATAAAACACAATGGATTCATTCACAAAACAAAACAAGTTTTTACATAACAGAACGTGCAATAAAAGCGCAAGAAAGAAAGAAAGGAGAAAGAAAAAGAGAGAGAGGTATCCAGAGGAGAACTTACCCCACGCTTTAGGCTCCTGAAGCAGTGGATTTTGGGTTTGGAGGTCATGAACTCGTTGAAGCGATGGGAGAGGGGTTCCTTTTGCTGCTTGGGAGACTGGGGGCCGTTGGGAACAGCAGAGGGTGAGGCAGAGGCAGGGGGAGGAGGAGGGGGCTGATGGGGGGATGTTAAAAGGGACATAAGCTACGTATAAGAGATGGAGAAGTGATAGAATAAAAACCAAAATAAAAGGATAAAACACAAAACGAAAATAAGCATCAAAACCAATATTTGAAATCCAGAGAAAAAAACAATTAAATAATTAAATTTTAAAGGCCATGGTTCAAAAGAGGGGGGAAAGCAGTATTTAAAGTTGTGTTAAATGAAGAATGCGATAAATGAAAGTTTTAGTAAGTGATGCAACAGAAGAGTAACGCAGAAGTATTTTGACAGGAAGCTCATGCAGACTCTTCCATGCAGTGCTATCCCCATAAACTGCCCTGTTCTGCTCTGTGGACAGCTCAGAATAATGCATATGGATAGAGCTTTCAAATACCTGAATTTAAATGGATCAGATAAGGAAGGTACCTTAGTGCCCAGTAGCGTTTCTATTATCTGGAAAACAACAAACCACATTCCTTCCTGCTTCCAAATCATACCTCAGCAATGTGTGCATCACACTTCACTTTCACAAATGATTCTATGAATTTGCTCAGGAGCTAGTCCTGGGTTTTGGTTCTGGCTACACTGATGTAAGCCCCAGAAAGCAGAGTTCTCTCTTATACCAGCACAACAGGAATGACCCATTCAAACAGGCAGACTTTTTGACTGTAATTAGAAGTGGCTTGGTAAGGCTCAGAGCAAGGGCGAGATCCAAACAATGAAGCTACTCTGGGCTTCCACCAGTGTTACTTGAAAATTGATTCAGTCCATTCACCCTGAGACGTTCTGGTAACCCCAGATAAATGCTGCCATGCATTATGGTGTAAAATATGACAGTGAAATGAAAAAGGTTTAATGGATACATAAGTTAATATGGTCCTTTAAAAAGTCAACTGCTCAGTTTAGTTATGCTCCATTAGTTGTGCTTTAAGAATGAATCGTAACAATTCCTTGTTCCCAGCCACCCAACTGAACCCAGTGCACAGACTGAAAAGATAACGCAAATGAAAAGCTAAGGAGAGTTTTAGAAGTGTCAAAACAGTAATGCCACATTAAAGCTTCCCAAAACAAGGTTAGTTGGCACACATGGCACTAGGTAAGTGGTATACAAGTCCTTCTCCGAGTTAGGAACAGAAATGGACCATGGCAGAGACGTGACAACTAAAGTTAAATTAATATAAAAACTGCAACATAATTAAAGAAATTCTACAAGAAGAAAAAAATTAAAGATATAAAGAAACCAGAGACTACAGCAAACACCATATTAAGACATCAGTTATTTACTTTCTGAGTCTAGAATTCTCTTTAAAAACCATAACTGCCAGGGTTACTACACAAGACAGAAGTTATTGACTATACACATACTAGTATCAAGCTCAGGTTTGCAATTCAGTACCTTATTTTTCTTGATGAATGGCCATAACTTGCCCTTGGATTTGCCACCAAACTTCGGCTCAGACTTCCCATCCGCTCTGGAGTTGGAAAGGCTGGATTCCGAGACAGTCCGCTTCATCGGCTGCGTGAAATCCTCAAAGTCAACGTCTCCTGGGGGCTCAAACCCTGATTTAAAGGCTTCTATTACCAGCTGGGAATCCTGGAATGGGACAGATCCAGAACAAGCGTGAACACCTCAGGTGACTGCTGTCATCACATTGGTGGCACAGAAACAGTACAAGGACACAGAAGTTTGTGCGGCAACTGGGCCTCACAGTGATCAGTCTTACTCCTGGAGCGCAGGATCAATACAGGGCTCTTCATCTTCTGCTCCAAGATCAGGGCACTTTTCTTGGACCTATTTTGACTACCATGATGTGCTTTAAGAAAAGCTAACCCAGGCAGAGCGCAGCATCCTACCAAAACAAGGCACCCTAATGTGTAAAATTTAACACTCCCACACAAGTGAGAAATGCCATCAAGAACACAACCACTACCCCAGACAGTTTCCAACCTATGCCAGTCAGAACATAAAAGGCTGCAAGCTCAGTTTCATAACAGATCTCTAAATAAACAACTATCCATGGAAGTAAAGCAGGTGAGCTTTAGTTTAAGCTAGTCCATCATTCCCCTTATGAAACTCTAGTCCATTTTGCAAAGGTATTGCTGGGACCAGTCATTACCCAGAATATCAACAAATAAGAAGCAGAGGAATATGGCCTATTTAGGAAAATATTTAACACATAACTATCATTAAAGACAGGTCATTGTAGTTAAATAAAGGTGATGCTTAGAAGGAATGAACTCGGGTCTCCTCTCTCCAACCTTCCACTGAGCTGTACAACCCCTGAGCCTGACCACAACCCAGCAACGGTTTCATTCCCCTTGTTTCATTCCCAACACAAACACAAAAAATTCTGACACAAACATCTCTAAAGGGTTTTTTCATGTCTACTGGTGAAAATTACTAAGAGCTTATTATTAACTCTATTGACTAGAAATGCAATCCAACTTCAGAAAATGAACAGATAAAGCTTAAGTGACTCACAACAAAGATTTAAGGTATAGAACTGTTGGGCACGCAGCTGTAAGCAAACCAGTGGAAAATCCCAATCCCAGCTCCTGAGTGATCACACTGCCACAGAGTGACAAGCTGGTGTTTGAGAACTCAGCTGCAGTTAATGGCAGGAGTTTCTCTCACAGACTTTACCTAACAACTGAGCAGTCCAGCACCTTGGAACTCCAGGCACTGTCAGTAAAGCCATGTTCCCTTTGGCACCTACTAGGAGTGCTAGATGCAAGCCAGACACATACTTGATGTATACTGTGTATAGTGGGTTTGCTCCTTTTTTTGACAGGGAAAAAAAAGGTAAATCAAGGCAAGAACAATACACAGCATTTTTCAGGTCTACAAACAATTACACATAAACGCAAATTCAGACCTCAGCTTGCCAAATGCATTTAAGTCTAATGGACTCACCAAAGATACTTTAATATACTTCTCATCTACTTGACTTCTTGGGAAGAGAGCTTTTTATGTTATACAGCTCTAACAGTTTACTTCCAAGATCCTTAGAAAAGCTGTGCCACAGCACACAAATCTCTAGAGGAGCATCACCACCCTGTTCAGATAAAAAAGATGAGCTTGTTTCTTTGAGGGCATCTCACAGATTCTGCTCCTGGCCGTAGGTAAAACGCTATTCATGAGGAATCTAGTGGGATATAAACATATCCCGAGGCCAGGCTCCATTGAGCAAAACACAGACACCAAAAGCTTTGCCAAAGTCTTCATGGGATTACGAAGGAAATGAAGGTTTAAGATCCTCAACCTGTCAAGCACACTGTGAAACTCATACACAGCTTTTAGGGAGGTAGAACAACACTTTCCATTATTTCATCCTAGTTTGACACTAAAACTTCCTGAGATCTAAACATTTGGAGAGATTTTAATAACAGCCATGAAAGCAAGCTGAAGAAAGAAGAAAAGAAACTATAATCATACACAGTGTTATATAAAATAGCCTATTGGTATTTTATCCTATGGAGCTTTTCATTTTTTCCTCTTAATTTTAGTGTTCCTTCCATTTAGCCAAAACATCCTTCCACTACAATGGAGTTAAAAATAACCAGCACACTCTATATATCACAGAGATAATGTCATAACAGGAACTCCATAACAGGAGTTCCATAACAAAGGAAGTCCATAACAAATTAATTTTATCTGCTCCTAGAGCCTTCTGCACAGGTTCACCTAGCAGTCACTACAGCTTACCCTTGCAACATGACCTCTGGGTTGTCAGAGCTGTCAGAAACAGGACAGGAAAAAGAGGCATATTTATAATGGCATTAAAAACGCAGGGCTAACCAGGATTCCCAGCTAAATCCAGACAGTTTTATGGGAATTCTATACACTTCAGTGAGAGCATAAGGCAATCCTATTAACACAGTTGCAAATTCAGTTATAAGCCTGAAAGATGGGCTGTTTTGCAAGCAGACATGAGGCTTTGTAATATTTAAGCTGCAGAAAGCATAGAAGTATTAAATCTGTCCCATAGATCATTCTGGTTCTTACACTATCCAGTGGAAGAGAGGCCCTGGAAGAAAAGTGATCTTCCAGAATCCCGCAGCATCTACAGACGGAGGGAACACAGAGCTGGCCATGGAAAGGAAGCCTATTAGCAGCCTGCACTTCCAGTTTCAAAGCCCCTACACAAATACATCCTTCCTTACTATTGTACAACACAATTCTCATGCTAGAAACCACAGTGTATCACTGGAACCCCACACCTTCATAGACAGGTGTTTATAATGAACCTAGCCAAAGCTAAAAACTCATTATCAAAAAGCTCCACGATACCTATGTGAAATGCAAAGTTCTGCTGCTCTTATTTTCTTTTTCCTTTTTAAGCAGTTAATGCTTTACCATCAGCTGGTAATATTCTACTGACAGTAAAAAACACTGCAGAACTGAACTTGCAGTTTCTTACATCCTTTCATCCAGAGCTGACATTTGGTACATGAGGTAGGTTACCGGAATTGGTGTTTCCTCCAATTTCTTACTTTTCCTTTCTTACCAATACATATATATTAGCTGTGGTTGTTCATTTAACGCCCTGGTGTCTGAACTGAAGTTACTGCACAAAGAGCAGAGCTTTCATTGAATCTCTCCCCTTCTTCAGTAGCTCTGTATGTGAGAGCTGGGTAGAAAAAGGGAAAATAAAACCGAAGTAATACCAACAGCTAAATAAGAACACCAAATGCATCACTGCCTTCTGTCAGTGCCACAGTGTCAGACCTTATACATTGCCAGTTTGGTGATACTGTAAGTTTGTTTATGATTATCAGATCCTGGAGATCTCCTCCCAGCTGGGAAACACATGTCTGTGTGGGCCAGAGTTTCACACAAAGCTTTTCCTGCTCAGCAGGCTCTTGGTTTTGCTCACCATTGTACTGGCTGTATTATCACCAGCTGTCCTTGAATTCAACTTTCCTGGAATCTGACCTCATTTTCAAGGCTGACTAAAGCACAGATCCAGTTGATTTTTCCTATGCAAAGCTTCTCAAGTTTGAAAAGATGAGTGAGTAAAGGAGACAACCTCCAATTTGAATCTTTCCAGGAAAAGGAGAAACTTTCCTGATGGGAGCCTAAGAGAGCCCAAACTTGCCTCTTCAAACGTTAAGGGGTGAGATGGGAAAGTCCTGCTGGAACACTCTGCATTAGTGACAAAAGCAGCATGTTATATGTAAATATAGAAAATGCAGCTTTTAAATTGCTGTGTGCACCTACAACCACCTTTATAAAGCAGAAGGACCTCCTGTTCTGGAGATAAAAAAAGTAATCCTTGATGATATTTAAAAAACCATAATCCGTTATAGACAGAACTGGTTTCCAGCCAAAGTCTTCTAAACCCTTTGTAATTGTTCAAATATTACAAATTTAGTTAAATACACTTTTGTTACCAGGGTGTTTACAGGAGATCAATGCTCAAAGGCACCATATTCTACTGTCATACTGGTGCACAAGAGGCATCAATCTGACTTGTCTGTGTGCAAGAGAGACTAATTGGAACATAAAATTCACATTCAAATACCCAGCTTAAGCCTTGTGTGGTTTGCCAAGAACTCACTTGAAGATTCAGGCAGAGTATAGGTTTAGGTATGAATCTCCCCAGTATGATTTCAGCACCAAAAGCTGTACCTCCAGAAGTGTATGTATGTTGTTCTAACATGGGAATCTGTGCCCCAAATCCCCTTCTCCCACCCTGAAAAGGTAATTTTCGGATTCTTTACTTTCCTAAGCTGCTCTCTGTGAGAGCAATTGCTGAGCAGAAAGCAGTGGATTAATTTCAGAACTTCAGCCTCAGGCCTATGCTGCCAATTAATGGCAGTCTCCAGGCTCTGAGCACTGAATAGCTCAGAAAAGATTCCAGTGAAAGAGACGTATGGGAAATGTGAACAGCCAGCAAGACACATGCTGTTTGTATTTGAAGCACTAATGTGATCCATGAGAAGGGCTGAAAGAGCAAGCAGAGACTTCATTTACAAAGAGAGCACATCACTCTGAAAACAAAATAGAAAACACATTTGCCCTTGTGGTTACTGTACATCAGGAAGCTCAACTGAACTCTTTATCGGCCTTTTTATCAGGAAGGCTTCTTTTTACTCCCACAGTGATGTCCACAAATCAAGATTTATGAGAGCTCGTTTACAGATTGCTAGCATACCTCAACTCAGCAAAGAGATCTCACAGTAAAGCAGACATTTTGAGAGTTGTTTGCAATAATTTATGTAGTCAATACTTTAAATACCTCCACTATTATAAACCTAACTGGAATGAAGACAGTTCTGCAGCATTCAGTTTTCTGACTATTAGAGATAGAATCCTCTGAATAAGAACTGATGATTAGTTATCTGGAATTATGTCCACCATCTTCCTTATTCTACACAGAAGCCTGATTTCCAATTACAGCACTTCAGAAGGGCATTATCCTAGTAAAAGTTAAAAATATTGCTGGAAGGAAAAAAAATAGGTTGAAAAACAAAAAGTGTGGCAGTAGAAGCATTTCTGGGTGTTAAGCAGATTTGGGAAATAATCTGAGCACATCCTGCCTCAGACAAAGCATCTTGGGATGAGAAGCTGTGCTTTGTTTTAGTTCTATGACTATAAAGTTTCTGTGCAGCAGCCTGGACCCGGGATTTAAGTCTCCATATTGTGTGATCAATAGTAAAGATGAAAATCAAGAATCTAAACACTTACATTCTTGTGATCAATTGATTCTGCAGCCTTTGTTATTTCATCCAGACATTTCCCAATGATAGGGATCACTTGGCGGTCGACCTCTGCGAAAGTTTTCATGGATTCACCTATCCTCACAATTCTTCTTTCCTCCATCTCTTGTATTTTCTAAAACATCGCATTTCATTCAGATCAAATATCAAGAATAACTTCACAATTTCAACCAATTTTTTTTACCCAGAATCCTTTAAAGTTCATGGTTTAAACATACTTGAGAACAAACTAGAGCAGCTGTTATCTCAAGACACTTGGTTGAAAATACCATGAAGCAAAAGGAGGTGTCTATTTAACTTAGGAGGTCCAGTTATAAGAAAACGTGTATTTGCTATGCAAATATCAATCATTTGATATCAGATGACAAGCATGTGAGTTTTTCTCCCTTGAAGAGGTTGTATTTTCCACTTCTGATGCTCATTAACCATTACAATGGAACAGTCATATAGAACTTCTGCTGTACTACATTAATCTTCCTTTGTTCAGACAAGCACAAACTCAGACTGTCAGTCATTGTAAATGTGACGGCTTTGTTCTCTCTCTACAGTCTTTCTTTAGGTCCACTAAGACATAATTGACATTAAACCCTTTGACATTCACTACTGCAGAATTATTGTGGTTTATATTTAAACATCTGTGAAGTCTGACGTGAACACAGGTTGTAAAGGGCTGTGAGGCTTTACAGATGTAATGATGCCCAGCTGACTCCTGCCCCAACAATGCAAATAATGCTCTCATTCCCCAGCTGCATGGACACGAGTTTAACAGAGCAAGATTGTGAGGATTCCAAAAATGACTGTAATCTGTTATGCCAATTCAATGTCACCTTCCTCATTTATTACTGATTAGTTGGTATCTAGTCTAAAAAAAGGGGACAACCTATTCTACCAAACTCTCAATTTCTTGGGCTGGCAAATTGCATGCAAGATTTGCTAACAGTGACCAAAATCACCAAAAAGGAAAAGACAGGGTCATAGAAATGAAGCAATATGCAATATGCCCCTCTATTCTTACCAAAAGATTATGAGCTACTTTATGAGCAGTGCCAGGGACCCCTACCTGGAAGATGTGTGGTATGTGTGTGTAGTAATGGTCATGCTGCTCACTGTTGAACTTCTGTAGAGTGGAAGAATACTCTGCTTTGCTGTCTTCTGCCATTTGATGTCGCAGCTGGGCCTGCTGTCTTGCCTAAAGAAATGCCAAAAGAAACACAGAATTTATACTACATGGAAAGAGATTGCATTGTGTTACTCCTCATCTTACTATCCTTACCAGTAGACAGCACAGGAACGTTAGCATATGGGTCTCTGAACAGTTCAGCTTTTGGTTTACTCGTGATTTTTTTAAGCAGTTGATCTGTATCTCATCCCTGGCAGTGTTCAAGGCCAGACTGGATGGGGCTTTAAGCAACCTGGTCCAGTGGAATGTATCCCTGCCTGTGGCAGGGGACTGGAACTGGATGAGCTTTAAGGTCCCTTCCAACCCAAACTACTCTATGATTCTATGTCCAGCATAAGCCTGCAGTGTGCACACTGCGGCTGTTCTTTTCTTGGTTTACAACACACTGTTTCCACAAACAACCTCTGTTCATACTGCATGTAACACCCAAGTTTGCCCCTTTTCTAGCCCACTTAACAGGCATACAAGTCTTGATGGCATCTGCTTTTTGTTAATAAACTACTTACCTGTTGCCTAGCAGTATTTTGGGGGAAGGTCAGTGCCAAGAAACCGACATGGTTTTGTGTCATTTCACATAATCATGACAAAACACCTCAACTCAGGCTCCCACTGTGCTCTCTGCAACGTCCTTGATTTGCACTTCCTTGAACAGCGCTGGCATGGAGCACACAAGGAAAGGGGAGCCTGAGGAGCAGCTGAGGCACAACTCCCTCCCTATTTTTACCCACACGGATGATTTGCTACCCAGCACAGCAGAGCACTGGGCTATTAACCTCACTTCTTTCCCTGGAACAATCTGTCCCTGAGTGACCCTTTCATATATTCAAATTCCTCCCCTTTCAGTTCTGTTTCCCAAGGCCTCTGTTATCTGCTTTACTGCCCAGCTTTACTCCCTCACTGCCTATCCCATCCGTTGATTTTAGTTGCCTTTTGCTTCCTTGCTGTTGGCCTTCATACAGCGACTCTTCCTTCTCCTCCCTTCCTACATCTTCATTCTCTGGCTGAAGCTCCCCTCTTTCCCACTTCCCATTCACCCAGCTGGAGCTGTGCTCCCACCCTGCTCCCTGTCCATGTGCCCCATGTCCAGGGACCAAATGCTTGCTCCAACGAGAGCTCTCTCATTGACTGCTGTGAGCCCAGGACTTGGCTTTGTAAATCTAAACTATCCTGAGTTCACACTCAGTTTTCAGGCACCCACCCTCCATTGCCAACCTAGCCTTGAATTGTGAATGTCCAGAAAGTGTTGGGTTCCAATCACTTCCTCTATTTCAGAAAAAACATTTTAAGAAAAGGGTTATTTTATTTAATTTAAATTAATTTGGGGTGTTTCAGAGAAACTAAATGATTTTAGCGTATTTTAAGAGGGCTCCCATTAAAAACAGTTCAGAATGGGGTTAGTCTTTGAACTGTTCCAAGCAGACAATAGTTTCCTGACAATAAATCCATGAAATACCAAATCATGGAACATTTTAGTAATCATAACTGGAAGGCAACAAATCCTGCCAGAAGGTTTCAAATCTCAATTTGAAAAGAAATAGGTTTCACTCCCATCTGTCCAGCTCACACAACTCACCTAATAATTTATTTCACCTCAGTTCAGCTCTTTCTTTTGCAAGCACAGTCAACGGTAGGAATTTCCCAGATCCCCCTCATATTCTTTCTATGGTAATAATTCAAGTGCAGTTAGAAAATGCTGGGCACTGAGTGTGTAACAGGAGATGAAACAGTAGCACCAAATGGAAAAGACTGACTATAACCAAATAAACTCGGTAAAAGACTTTGCTTGCTCCCCAGGAGTTTAAACTGCCCACTAACTCCTGTAAAGGATGTATATATCACTTCAGGATATATTTATGTGCTGCAATAAAATTCCAACAAGCCATATCAATCCTTTTTCTGCCCAAGTGCTATATAGCTTATTAAACTTTATCATCCATACACGCATAGATAGCTACATCTAGTGAGCAGAAATCAAGATAGCCTTTGTACCACGAACAGCAAAACAAAGCCATGGCAAGGTGGACAGCTGAAGAGTAACGTACACTCGGCTGCCAATCCCTCCCTCAAGCCCCAGCTGCTATGGATCAATATCCATTTGTGAGGCCCATTCTCTTCCTCTACCTAAGAGCAGCCCATTGTCTGCGCTAGCTTCTGCACCAGCCCAGTCCCACTCATACAGCTGGGGTAGCGCAACTCAGGAATTTGTCCCTTGACTCCATTGTTGAAGCAGGAAAACAAGAAATCCATTATTCCACATTTCCAGGCAGATCCAACAAACATGAAGCCATCAGAGTTCATACTCAAGAGCAAGCTCTTTGGCTGGACATGAGCAAAGGAACTCGGAGCTAACTGTATACAGGAGTAGATGCTTGGTTTCCAAAACAATCTGAACTGGTCCTAAATAAGATGAGAAAGTAAAATTGGGAACATTCCAAACCCAAGAATTTTTCTATGAGTGCCCCAGTGATGCTTTGTTTCTTCCAGGTCACTTAATGCATTTGGCAAGCTTCAAACACAGTTCAAATATTTTCCAATGAGGTATTTGGATCTTAAACTAAAAATACTTTTAAAAGGGCTAATTTTTTTATGATGACTTCATTTGAGTATGTCACTTAAAACTAAAGTGATGCTGATAAGAGTAACAGAACTGTATTTCATAGCTTGGTTCCTGCACTCTGCTGAAGGACAGGCTGATAAAAATGGGTTGGTGACGTGAAGCTTCACATTCAGAGCAGTGGCCTGGAGCCGCACAGAGTCACAGGAGCTATTTCAGGAGTAATTTATAGTTGAGCTTTCCAGAGAATAAGTTTTTGCCACCTTTCCTGCTCACTTGTGCATGCAAAGAGCTTCAGAGAAGGTAATTTTGGGTTGTTGTTTTTTTTTCTTAGAATTAATGTTACATTATTTGCTTTGAACAGTTTTGTTTTTTCAGCTGGAAAGGCTTTGGAATAATTGGTCTCTAAACCAGACCATGACTTTAGATGCAAGAGGCAGCTTTCAGTCAACATACACTCTCCTTTAACTGGGCAGGGATGACTGAGCATACCTCCCATTTCCAGCACCACCCATGAAACAATGATCCAGATGTTCTACAATCTGTTGGAACACTCCATGGTAAGAAATGCCCAGGCTAGGTACATGGAATGCAACAAAAGATCCTCTCCTTTGTTGAAAGGAAGGAAGAACAAGGTCATCTCATTCTCCACAGGCCTTGCAAACATGCAGGACTAGTAAAACTTTATATACTGATCTGAAATCAGTCCTTTGGCCATCTTTAAGATGGGTACTGTGGGCTCTTAAAGTGTGAGAAATGTCAGCAAGCTGCTCTGCATTACATGCGGCCTCTTATGAGTATTTAAGAAATACCTTTGTGTAGGTACCTTGCATACAGATTTTCCCCCTACATCCAGTTTGATACCAAAGACAACTGGTGATTAAGAGTAGGAGAAATTTTTAAGCACGATTTCTGCCATTTCAGTCTCCAATACTGAAAAGAATGAAGGATATTTTGCTGAGAACAATTTTCTAAGACACATTCCAGAAACAGCAAGAGGGTCAATAGACACAGTGTCTTCTGGGTTTACACAGACAAAAAAATGCAGCTCCTCGAGGCTGTTATGGTGGGAGTGATATGAATAACTGAAAAGGGCAGAAAAAAAAAGCTTTGGCTGCTATTCAGCTGATCCACACTAAGTGGAACAGTTCAACTTCTCAGCAGTTGCTCGTGTCCAGAATGGCAGTTTCCAGTCAAAACTCTGGTGCAGTTTTCTTTCTTCTCTCTTTTCTCCCATTCTTTCCCCACCCCTCCTTTTTTGTTAAACCCAGACACCATGTGAGATGCATCACTGCCAGGCCACTGCCTGCCAGCATTGAACTGTCTTTGGTAAATCCAAGATCAGCTTCAAGTGCAAACACAAAAAAAGTCATCCCTGCCCCCATCTCAGCTACCCAATCCCTTCAAAATAGCTTAATGATAAAGGCAGACTCAGAAACACTTCACCAATTTCAGGAATGCTTTCAATTGCTCACAGAGTTTTCAGCTGCAGGCTCTGGTCTTCCCTCCATGCAAACCTCACATCGCCACGCTCTGTTACGAGCGGGCACCAGCAGCAACGCTGGCAGTGTTTGCAGAATCATTAACAACAGTGGGAATTCTGCCATGGACTTCAAAACGCAGCCAGGGTTTCAGGCTTACATTTACATAGCCTCCAAATTGAGCTCCGCTGTTTACTATTTTACAATAACCAGTTTGGTTTCTCTGAACTGGCAAGCAGAAAAAGGTTTGGAAATCTGCTCTCCTGAAAGCAAGGAGATAGAATGAGGGGTGCAAAACAGACAAAGGAGAAAAATCCTTTTAACATTAGAAAATAATCTGAGAATCTACGGATCCCTGAAATCCTCTGGCTGAATATAATATACAATGAGCGAACTGCTGGCAGGGGATGGAAAAGCATCACACATCACAGGAACTGTTATCTAGTGCAGTTGCATTGCACGTAATTCTGCCAGACTACAGAAGTGCACACTAACAAGAGATATATCAAAGGGACAGAATACCAACAAAGCTCTAACAAGAAAAACAACCAAGTTTAATGGAGCTGGGACAGTAACACAGCAAGCACGTTGCACAAGGCTCAACAAGGACTCCCCTAACTGTGTCAGCTCTATACTCATAGGACCAGTCCTGCAACATGATGGTTCTTGCTGATTAATTGAGTCTGACAGCTAAAGCTTACTTGAAATGTAATTAAGTGAATGAGCCCAGGACTTCAGTTTCTTGGCTTTGGACCTCAGTTCTGCCGCAGACTCCCTTGTACAGATTTCAAGGCTGCATTTTCCACGTATAAACCAAATGTATCTGTCTTTTTTATCACGTCCAACCAACCACCTCAATTTGGTCTGCAAAGTGCTCAGAGCAGTCTAAATGTTGTGTAAGAGAAGGACCTTTACATAAGAATTGAGAACAGCAGCATGTGCACCGTGACACGTGCCCGAGAAGCACCTCTCAG